CCCCCCCCCCCCCCCCCCCCGCTGCCTCCCCAACCTCCCAGCCGATCTTCTTTTGTTGCCCTGAACAGGAGAACGGAGCTGGAAAGGGATGGGGATTTTGCAGTATCCTTATCCTGCCACGCTCACAAAGCCACACCCACAAAACCACGCCCAAAGCCACACCCACAGAACCTGTAGTAAACAATTTTGAATCCAGCACTGCCCTGGGCCCTGTCGGGATGGCTCAAGAGACCCAGGAGACAGTGGGCGTGGGCATCTTGCCAGCTCTAGAACAGGAGATGGCTCCAAGCTTTGGGCCAGTTGAAAGCCAATGGATGGCAGCTGACTTTGCCTTGTGCACTAAGGGCATCGGCAGGAAAGAGTCCTAGGCCGTGACTGGTCCTGGGTGGCAATAATGGAAATGGAGGGGATTTTTTCACATTGGAACACTTGACCAGAAAAAATAGAGGGACTCCAGAAACTGTGCAGGAGCCCAGGGAAAATCCTCCATCAAAGCTCCGAATCAGCTCACAGGAATCTCAGGACTTAATGCCTTTTAAAAGCAGCTGATCAGCTTTGCCAAAAGATGTCCTCCATGCAGGATGCTTCCTTCCTGGACCACTGTTCTCCTCTGGCCAGAGAGCTCCCAATGAGGAAAGCAAGCATGGCTTCTTTCATGGGCCCTTTGGGGTGATCTGCCCACCACCGCCATCACAGGGGGCTTTGGCTGGCCACTGGTTTAGGAGTCTCTGGGTGCCTGCAAATTGGTCTTGGCCCATCTTTGCAGTTTTTGGGTTTGGCACTCAATCTTGAGGCCTGGCCCCCCGGCCGGCAGGGAGGGGGAATCTCAGAAAGGAGAGACAAGGAAAGTCCCTTTCTTCTCTCTCCTTTCTGAGATGCCCCCCCTAGCCCCAGCCAGGCCCCAAGACTGAGTGCCAAACCAGCTTGTTCTGGTTTTGGGATTCTTCCCCCGCTTTGGGGGGCAAGATGCGAAAACTCCCATACAGAGGGGGTCTGGATGGGGGCTAGATTGCCTGCTAGAGATTAGTATTGATTGCTTGTGACTGGTGTGTGTTTCAGCTGGGCTGTTTTCATCATCTGCCTGGGGCTGCTGCATTGTTCAAGGTGGGTAGGCACCTAAATTCTGTAACCAAAGCAGGACAGCGGCCTGGCACCAGCCGGACACATCCCAACCCAAATCTCTTCTTTCTGCAAAGCTGGACTTTCTTGGGAAACCTGAGCCATCTCTTGGCACAAAACCCCAGGCTGGCCTTTTCCAGCAGGAAAGTAAACAAGATGGGAGGACTGCCCAAAGGGCAGCATGTGCCAGGAAAAGTCCTTGGCTGCCAATGGTCTCTGGCTTTCTTTTCCCCACTGAGTGGGAACTTCTGCCCTCCTCCCTCACCTGCATCCAAGAACATTCTCTGTCGCCAGGAAGCCTTTTCCAAAATCTCCACATCTAAAAATTTGATGGCATTTTCTGGAATCTTGAATTTCTATCTTGAAATCTCCTTGCAACCAATTGGCAGCCTTGTTGAGCGGGTTATTGGCCCTGGCTCTATCTGAGAGAACTAATCAAAAGCTCAGCTATCCCCATCCCCACAGATCCCCCCCCCCCCAGCCTCCTTGCAACCATCCTACGCTCCCTTAAGGAGGAGGGGGAGGATCATCTCCTTGGCCCTGAAGGAAGCCATCTCTCAGGCAGGATGGAAGGCAGAAAAGCAGTTATCAGCGTCACCTCCCAACGGGCTGGCTTGTGGCTGCTCAAAAATTCTCCTTGCGGTGATGGTTTCCTTCCATTGAATCTCTGGCATGCTAAAGCCCAGCAATATCCCTTCAATCCCCAACCCCTTCCAACAGTTCAGTTCTGGGCTCAGGCATGAGGAGAGCAGAGGTGGCTGTGGGCTTCATCGCTCCCCAAAAGATGGCCGCTTCCCCGAATGTGGAAGCGGCCCCTGCAGCCTTGGTGGCAGGTACTTGGGAAGACTAATCCTAAATAGCCCAGCAGCGCAAGCAGGCCAATGATGCCCAGCAGGGGTCAGAACCCTCAGCAGCCTTCCAAGGCAACCCAGCTAACGTGGCTCCTTCCCAGACAATCCGCAAATGCCAGATTGGGGGTTGAGTGTCACTGAGCACTTCAAGGGCCAAGGAGGCAGATCCCCTTCAAAGGAAAAGAAAGATCCTGCTCTCCCGTCAAGAAGTGATGCTGCTTCATCTTCAACTGAGAACAGGCCTCTTCCTGAATTGGGACTATCACTAACTCCTCCTAACTCAGCCAATCTAACTCCAATCTTCACAGAAGGGAAGCTTCCTTTGTCTGAGGATGGACAAAACCACACAAAGCAAGCAGAGCAGACTTCCCCACAGTTCTCCCTCTTCCGCAGGAGCACCCCACCTGCTCAGCTGGATCAGAGCCCCGTTGGAGGCTAACAGATGCTGAGCGGCTGCTTCTGCCTCTTGCATCTCGGCTCCCCCAGCTGCTCCAAGCTCCCCTCCCTACCTGTATGTCAGGCCAGTCTAAAAGGGAGCAAAAGGGGGGTTTCATGCCTCATACCCAAGCCACTTTGTTTCCCTTCTGATGAATGCCTGGCGTAGGAAAAGAGCCGGTACCCGCTGGATTTGGATGACTCGGACAGCACCTGCAGAAAGGAAATGTTTGTAAAGCCAAGAGAGCCAAAAGAGAGCAGCCCCCACTCTTCCAAGGAAAAGAGCACACACACACACCCAGAGCCGCTCCTGCCTAGGCTGCAGCTGAGATGCATTGCTCCCCCTCCTCTTCCAGCTCCCCCACTCACCTCCATGGAGCCAGCCTTGCGGTTCCGGATCAAGGGTGACCGGCGCTGGATGCAGACCGGCTCCGAAGGCTGCGGGGACCGGGCCTCCACCCTGTCTGTCTCATCATTGCCCTTGGACTCCTCCAGGTCCTCTAGACTTCCCTGCTCTGGCTTTCTGACCTCCTTCTGTAAGAAAGCTGACGTTGTGATGCTCCAAGCAGTGGGAACCTCTCTTTGGGCATGGAAGCTGCCTTGCTAACAGTGGGGAAGGAGAAGCAAGCTGGCTGGCTTTGGGCTGCCGAGACAGGAGAGCTCTCCTTCCTTGCTTTTGCAGCTTGGTTGCTTAATGCATTTGTGCCAAAGTTTTCTCTTTAAGAGGAAAAGAGAGATAGAAGTATTGTTAGAGTAACAAGAAAAGGTTGCAGCTGTTTCTCTGTTACTCTTGCTGCTGCAGGAACAGCCTGACACCCTGTGTATGACATGAAACACCCTGCTTTGGCATCCAGCTGCCCTGCAAAGAGAGGAGGTTCCCTGGATACAAGCTCACCTCTGCAGAGGCTGGGCGGAAGCCGCATCCCGCTGGGGCACTGCCTTCCTCCTCGCAGCCTTTCACTCCGGGACTGAAGTGCAGCTCCACATGGAACCTCTCCTTGGATGATGGGTCCTGCAGAGGCCAGCCACACAGTGGATGAGACGGGCCCAAGTGCTCAGCTGGCTCAGCTCTGGCTGGCCCCGCCCTCACCTTGTTGTTGTCCTCATACAACATGATGACAATCTGGGTCATGTAGTTCAGCTCTGAAATGGCTCCCAAGTAGTCCATGGCTCTCTTCCACTGGGCGTCCTTTGAGGCCTAGCATGGAAAGGAGTGGCAGAGGGAGGCCGGACTGAAGTCCTGGCAAAGCCAGGCAGGGAGCCCTGAGTAAGGGGGCCTCAGGGAGTTGCTGCTGCATTCCCTCCCCTCCTGGCTGGCCTCAGGCAAAGGTAGCTCCCCTTCCTTCTGCAGCCCCACAAGACTCCAAAGCCCATAATGCTGTCAGCTGCCCCTCAGGAGGCCAGGACCAAAAGGAGGCTGATTAAAGAACAGCCATCTCTGGCACAAGTGAAACAGGAGGGCTCTGCACTCAGAAGCCTCCGTCAGCTGGGCTCATGCTGAGAAATGGAGGCAAAGCTCTGGGCAACACTCTGAACATGGCACCCTGAAGTGTCCTGGTGGTTGCTCCCAGCTTACATCTAGCAGGCCTCCATAGCGGAAGATGCTAAGTAGGGAATGGACGTGGCTCTCACTGGTGAAGTACAAACGTGTCCGGACATGACGCCCTGGAGACAGGACTCCCCTGGAATACCTGCAAGCAGACCAGCCAGGCAGCAAGAGTCACCCTGCTGGGCAGGCAGGGCTGGGTCACAAAGGCCCCCAAGGCCTCCTATGCAAGCCCAGGAGCCGGGGAAGGACCACAGGGCATCATCAGCTGGCTTCCTATAGTCAGACAACCCAGCCCAAGCCCACCCTGTCAGGGGCAAATTGGGCATCTGCTTATATCTTACAAGGGGTGCAGCTTGTTGACAGACTCATCCTCGTGGGTTCGCTGCAGGTCCAGCTGAATCTTCTTGATGAGAGGCAGGCAAAAGCCCACCGCAATCTCCAGCTTCTCCTGTTGGCTGATGCCGTACTCCTGCAAAAGGTCAGGGTGTTTGCAGGGCAGCCTCAACACAACACAGCCTGACCGGAGTGGCTTGGCAGCAGAGGAGCGAGGCTTGCCCCATACCTGGGGGATGACAATATCCGCCAGCGCCTTAGAGAGCCGGAGCAGCTCATGGGTGCCTTCCAGCTGCAGGCCAGCATTGTGCTGTATGTCGTATTTGACACAGTCGTAGATGTCGGGGATCTTGCTGATATCGTAACGCCGGTTCTTCAGTCGGAAGTCTTGCTCCAGCTTCCTCCAGCGTTGCAGCATCAGCTCCAGGGTCTCACTGTGGTACAGCTGCAAGTCTGCCAAGCCAGAACAAACCATCAGTGCCACATGAAGGGACAGATCAGCTGAACTCTGGATGGCAGATCAGCTGTTTCTTACAACTCCAGGATGTCTGCAAGCACCAAAAATTCTGCTGCTCAAAGACCACCTTTGGCTTTGAGAATCCAGAAAAGCTGGGGGAGCAGAAGAGCAAACTCCCTTTGGATGGAGGAGCCTCCTAAGCCCTGGGCCTCTTTCACACACTCCAGGACTTTGCCCCTTGGTCCCAAAACTCTTCAAGAGTTTTTTTAGAAAAGCAACAAAGATCCACCATCTCAGAAGCAGCCCACTATGGCACGAGCCATGTCCATGCAACTCCCACTTTTCTCTGCTACAAAGGGAATGACTCATACCAGCAGACTTGGGGTCCTCCAGACGTTTCTGGATCTGGGAAGTGAGGTTCTCAATCAGCTTAAAGACTTGTTCACAGGTCTCCACTGGATTCCCAATGATCCTCATGGACTTGATGAGCGAAGTACTGCCTGTTGGCGCCAGCTGGGGAGAAATCAGAGCAAAAGGTCAACGGTGCCCATGAGGGACCAACCAGGCTGCTGACCAGATTTGGACCAACTGCCTCCACCATGCTCAGCTGGGATTTCTGGAGTTGAAAGCAGAAGCCATTGGGAAATGTATATCTCAGACCTGGAAGCCATATTTATTCTGTCTTGAGGAATGCTTGCCTATTGAGTTCCTTTGCTCCAGCAAGAATCCTGTCTGCGCATGAAGCCAAAATCCCTGATTGGAGATGCCAAGTGTTAGCAAGATTTGAAAATAATGGCTATAATCCAATTGGCTTGAATTACAGTAATAAGAATATATAACATAATATCATAGGGTTGGAAGGGACCTGGGAGGTCCACTAGTCTAACCCCTTGCTCAAGCAGACAACCTGCCCAGTCTATTCTTGAAAACATCCAGCCATGGAAAACCCACAACTCTAGCAGGCAAGCTGTGTTATTGATTCAATCAATAATCATTAATTAAATGTGCAACTATTGCCATTCACAAAGGTTACTCCTATGTCAACTTTACAAACTGCATGTATTTGCACACTTCTACTTTCTTCAAAGGGTTTATATACCCTTATTACATTATTCTAACTGGATGCCAGTGAAGAGATGCCCAACCTATTTATGATAAAGGTTCATTTCTGATAGATTTTAAGATAAGCAAGGAATCATATGTAGTCCTAACAGTCCCTGTGATACTCGCTCTCTCCAGCGCCATTGACACTTTTATAGAGCTCTTCTCATTCCTGAATGCCTTTCCCTGAATTGTTGCTATTCACTTGTGATAACTCCATTATCACAATCAGAATTATTTCCTTTTTTATTCTTTCACACCCATTAAAGAGGCAATGTCAGGAGACATTCAAATGTTGCAGAGAAATGGTTACTTCTCAACAGGCTTAGATTTGGCAATGCTGTCCATCTTGTGTAGTTGAGCTAGATCCAGGTGATGGTGAACCAAAACCGTCTTTATTTTGGGATATCACGCCTTAGAAACCTGTTGCAAGACCTCACTAGATGGATTCTCTTTTAAAGCGCTCTAAACCCCTGGGGGATAGTACAGTATGGCAAAGTCTACAGTGTTCCCTCCTCAAGTGCGGCCTTCTTTTTCTTCTTGGAAAAATGATCTTTAGCAGCAGGAGATTTTGGATCTGGCTGGCTGCCCTCCTCTTTCTTGTCTCCTCCAGAAAAGCTGTATATAAAACTGCAGCCTTTAATAAAACCACCAACAATAGAAAAAATACTCCTTGTAAAAATACATTAAGCAGGATTCATTTTCAAAAAGGCAAGGATAAGAGGGCCTCATAGTAAGTTAGATTTCTAGTGGCTTAATGTACACCTCCGTGCAGTTTCCTTGGCAACCACACCGTAGTGGATGGCTTTGGCCTTCTGCTAGGATCAATGTTTGATTTCCATGTTTAGGGGCAGCGTGGGGCCTCAGCGGTTGAGACGCTGGGCTTGTCAGCTGGAAAGCTGACAGCCCAGACCACACCATAGGGCGAGCTCCAGCTCCTGCCAACCTAGCCGTTTGAAAGCTTGCAAATGCGAGTAGATAAATTGGTACTGCTTTGGGGAGAAGTTAACAGCATTTCATATTTTCATGCAGGCCACATGATCACAGAAGCACCTTTGGACAATGCTAGCTCCCTTGGCTAAGAAACGGAGATGAGCTCCACCACCTTGAGTTGGAAACAACTAGACAGGGGAAATCTTTAAAGCTTTTTCGGCACAGCCTGGCAATCTCCCATCAAAGTCAGTCCAAGCCTTGTTCATCAGGCAAGGCTACTGCAGCCATCTGCTGAGACAGATGCCTTTGAAGGAAGCTGCCTTGGCTGGCTGGCTGGAAGCAACAGAGGAGCCAGCAAAGCACCATTCCAGAATTTTGCACATGACTGGACAGCACAGAGGGACACCACATTCCACCTTGAGCCTTTGGATCAAAGGGGAATCTCCCATTGAAGTCCATCAGGCAGGAAAGCGACACCATGTAATTCCAAACACATTCTGCCTCAGCATTACCTCGTATCCAGTGTTGCAAGAAAATCCAAATGGTTGCACTCTATAACTCTCTCTCCCAGCAAAGATAAGAAATCAGAGCAATCAAGTCTACTTCTATACCAGGGTGTCAAACTCAAGGCCTGGGAGCCGGATCTGGTCCACGGGTACTTAGATCTGGCTGACCTGGAAACAGCAAAGGGCCAGCCCGCAGTGCCTCTGCCAGCGAAAACAGAACTTCGGAGGGCTGCATGCGACCCCCCCCCCAAGCTCTGTTTTCACTGGCAGAGGGTTGCAAGAGGTCATTCCAACCAAAAACAGAGCTCAGGAGCCCATTTTCACTGGCAGAGCGCTTGGGCTGCCACAGATGCCCTCAAACACAAGTGACGTTGAGCTGGCCATGCCCACCCTGGCCACACACACCCCAGACCACCACCACCCGAGGTCAAACACGAGCCTGATGTGGCCCTCAATGAAATCGAGTTTGACACCCCTATTCTAAAGGATATCCCAAAGAAAATAAACAAAAATGCATCTAAAGAATATGGTTTTTTCCATGTGGCTGAACAGGCATCCTGCCTAGGGAAAGGGTTTTTGGAGCTGGGTGACTGCAGCCCAGCCCTCAGACTCCAGGCCCTCTCAGTGCCTGATTCCCCTGGTTAAGTTGGGCCCCCTGAAGCTTTATAGCTGTGACCAGTCAGAGCTTAGGAAAAAGGCTGCGGCCTTCACCACCACCCTAAGCTCCTCATCTTCATCTTGAGAGCGGATGAACTGAATCAGGCCAAGGCCTCTTGCCTGCCAGAGCCCTTTCTTGGTGGCCAGAAAAGACCTTTGCAATTCTTTGAACAGCAACCTTGCGAAGGTCTTGGCAGGGACACTTCCAACCATTCCTCTAGCAGCTGGTACTCTTTTGCGCACCCACAGCGGGACTAAAACATCTGCTACAGAACAGAGCTGCCATGCCCCAGTTGCCACAGAGCACAAAGGCCTTGGCACTGTCCTGTTCAGAGAACTTTCCTTCAGCCAGAGCAGCAGCAAAAGGCCATAGCAGCCCGATGGAACAAACTTTGGCTGCCTTTCTGGCTGCTACTAAAGTTTGGGACCTTTCAGCCATTTTTCTAGAATAGGGGTGCCTACGAAAGCCTTTCTCAAGGCCAAAGAAATGCACCTCCATCACCTTCTCATAGTCCTCTGTGCAAAATGAGACGTCTTTCTGCATAATCTCCCGCAGACGAGCCTTCACCCGGTGCTGGCAGCTGCTGAGGGAGTCACTGTCGCTATCCAGCAGACCGTTCATGTTGGCGCTCTTCACCATTTGCACTAGGATGGGCGTCAGCTCCCCCTCCAGAGCAAGGAGGCCCTGTGGGAAGACACAGCTTAAGACTCTCCTCCCCCCTCTCCACACTGCAAAGGAAGCCCCTGCAGGGCCCCTGCTCTAGCCAGGCAGAGGGCTGAGGAGACACTGAGGGTGAGGAAGAGACCCAAGTCCTCCTACAGCTTCTGCTGGCCTGACTGGAACTCCCCCTCCCAGGAACCTTTGCAAATGCTGCCGCTGTCATCTGGACTCTGCCCTCATCGGAGGCGTAGATCTTGAGATCGTGGCGGTAGGTGCTGTGCAGTCGAAGGAGGCCACAGCCTGGAAAACCAGCATAGTCTCCTGGGCAGGAAAGAGAAACCCAGTGGCCGTTCCAGACATATGGGCATTTTATTTTTGTAGTGCCCTCTTTAAAGGGCAGAAAATCCACTGAGTGGGCAGAGTTGCCAGGGCTGCAGGTCAGAGACAGGGTCTCTGTTACATATGTAAATAAAGACTGAAGCCTTGGGCAGAGGCTTCACTCTGGTCTGGCTCTTAAATAGAAATTACCAAACTGTGAGCCCATTGGTCAATTTGATTGGTGGGAAAATAAAGAAATCTCAGTGACTGGGCTGCCTGACAGCTCCCTTTAAAAGATGGAGATGTTGGAGAACCTGTTCAATGTACTGGTCTACCACCGTGTTTCCCCGAAAATACGACATGTCCTGATAATAAGGCCATGCCACATTTTTCTGGTGGGCAAAAATATAAGCCCTCCTCCACAAATAAGCCCCCTGGACAACCCCCCACCTCTGACCAGGCAGAGCACCGCTCACCAACCCAGCAGTATCCCGAAGGTGCCAAGCTGCAGTAACGGGGAGGGGGGGGGCAAAGGTGATCGTGTTGCTTGGTGCCTTCGGGATACCGCTAGGTTGGTGAGCGGCACTGTGCCCAGCTGAAGAGGGGGGTTGCCAGGCAGCTGCTCTCTTGCGAGCAGGCTCCCAAAGAGCCGGGCACAGCAGCCACCTGGCAAACCCCCTTTCCAGCCGGGCACAGCACCATTCACTGACCTAGGAGTATCGCCAATCTGCGTGAGTGCCTATTCGCCGCCACCCAGCTCTCGTGGCTGGGCGCCTTCGAAATGCCAGTGAATGGCACTCTGCACGGATGGAGAAGGTGGTTGCGCGAGCGGTTGTTCTGCTCCCGCTTGCGCACCTCCCAGCCTCATGATGCCCTGGCCCAGCTCTCCCTGCAGAGCCAGGGCACCTCCGCTGTCACCGCCAGCACCAGCGCCATCCCAGCATGGCTTTTTCAGCAGCTTCCAAACTGAATCTTCCGACAGTGGCAGCTGTGGGCATATGCACTATGGTTGTGGGCTGGCTGTAGGTAGAGCATACAACCATAGAGCGTACGCCCAGAGCAGCCACTGCCAGATGACTCAGTTTGGAAGTCACTGAAAAAGCCATGCTGGGATGGCGCTAGTGCTGGCGGCAGCAACGGAGGTGCCCTGGCTCTGCAGGGAGAATTGGGCCAGGGCATTGTGAGTCTGGGAGGCGTGTGAGTGAGAGCGGAACAGCCACTCACGCAGTCCCCTCTCCAGCCATGCAGAGCACCATTCACTGACGTTTTGAAGGCGCCAAGCCGCGAGAGCTGGGCAGGGGCCAACAGGCTTGGCGATACCCCTAGGTCAGTAAATGGCGCTGTGCCCGGTTGGAAAGTGGGTTTGCCGGGTGGTGCTCTTGAGCGTGGTCGCTTCATGGCTGTTGTGTTGCACGGCTGCGACAGCCATTTGCTCATGAGGCTGTGCCCGGCTGTTTGGGAGCCCACTCGCAAGAGAGCAGCCGCCCAGCAACCCCAAAACAATAAACCCTCCCCTCATAATAAGGCTCAAGCGATATTTTGTGTGTAAAAAGAAAATAAGATCCTGTCTTATTTTTGGGGAAACACGGTAAATAAAGAGCTATGCTACTC